TAGAAAGTGAGTTGTTGTTCTTAGGTCTTTGGTGTTAAACAATTTACCTACTACAGTGAGAAAAAAGTGCACGCTTACATTGAGCTCTTTTCTTACTTGATTCAATTACTTAAAATAGCATCCATTAGAAATGGAAGACAAAAATACAGATGATTAAGTTATCATTTGGCAGAGCAAAGCAAAACAGTGAGTAGATTCAAACATAAATTAATGATTAAATGATTAATTAACAAAGATTAAAAAGTCTTCCTAGAAACATATAACATTAAGGATAATTATGAATGTTTTCTTTGAAACTATGGGTGCTTTTGGATAATTAGTCTCCTATGTGCAATTTGATAATATCGAGTGGGACATTTTTCTTCCAAGTTTCACTGTAGAGGCCAGAGAGAGATTCACAGTAGTAACAAGTTTTTACTGATTCTTCAACATCAGCAGACTTTCCTCTTAATAATTCTTTCAATAAAAATAGATTTTCCAGATAATTTAGTGAATAAAACTCTGCTGAAATATCTATTAAAGTGACTGTACCTGGACTATTTCATGAAACTAGGGTGACATCTTGGATACTGGTGAAGCTGAGATTGATTAATGCACGTGCCTATTCTGTAGCATAGGGTCATTTTAATATTTGAAATTACAATATTGCAATGAACTCAGTACATATTTAGAGATGCTTTCTATAGCAAAACCAATACAGAACACAATGAAGCCTGCTAGAGGTAATAAAACCTAATTTTGTTTCTCTTCTTACTTTCTGGCTTCTACACAATTGTGGCTGGTACAAAATTGTTTAGAGTGGGTCACCTAACATCACCTTTGCTTTTGTGCTTTAGTTTGTGATGTGAACAATCAAGACCCAAGTATGATATCTTCCATGCAGAATTTGAGTTTTGGGAAAAGAGTACTAGAAAAAAATAAATAAAAAGAAGGCTTAGAAATGAGGAGGAAGCCAGCAGAGCAGGGGGATTGGATTGAGAGCCTCCTGTAACAATCTAGGAAGTATAGGTCCTGATTAGAGCAGCTGAAAGGAGGGAACTCACCTGCTGTAATGCACGCAGCATTTATTCTGCTCAAAATAAGAATGAGAGAATAATGATGCTCTGAAGTGGCCAATTATTCCAGCAATAATGAAACCACGCTTCACAGTGTTAGCTTTAGAGCAAAAGCAAATTGAAGTTGTGTGCTTCCTTCCCAATCACTGTCATTGTATATCAAATACAAAGACATGATATTTTCCTGTGTATTAAGAGTGAAGTTGCCAGAAACAGTTTTACTAGCAGTGTATTTGATTACATGTTCAGACAACCACAATACAAACAGTATATTTACTGGTGTGCAATAGAGGTACGTGCATGTGTGATTTGCGTTCAGTTGGAACCTTTTTAAGTAGGCAATGTAAATGATCATTAAATGGGTAAATCTTGCAGCACCTGTTCAGTTGTGCCAAAGAAGCAAAGTTCTGATGGTTTAAAATCATGAGGAACAGCAAAAGTGTTAGGATCATAGATTTATACTGTTTTCTGACCTTGCTCTCATTTATGTATTAACATTTCATGTGTCATATCTATTCCTTACTGTTCCATAAGTGCTTTTACTGTTGTTATTGTTTGGTTTTTGTTTTATTGACTGTTTTTTGTTTATTTGTTTTGTTTTTGGAGGCAGGGTTTCTCTGGGTAGCCTTGGCACTTATACTATAGACCAGGCTGGCCCTTACTCACAGAAATTTTCCTGCTTTTGCCTCTGAGTGCTGGGATTAGAGGTGTGCACCACAAACCACCTGGCTTCAACAATTCTTTTTAAAGCAAAAGTTATATTATTACCTAGTTTTACAAAACTCAGGGAGTATTGACCTGGAAAAGTCCAGGACAGTCATTTTTCTGTACTCTCAACTCATTTGGAAATGTCCCTAATCTGACACTGTGGAGTAGACCTTACAGATCCCCTTGGAAAGTACAGAGTTACCATTAATGAATTACCTGAGAAATAAAGTTTAGAGTGTATGAAATATATTAAAATATCCGAGAAGACATTTCATATTTCACTTGTTTATTCTTACTATATTTGACTTACAGTTGATTGAAAAAGTTTTCAATAATTTAATTTAATAATATATGTCTAAGTTGGCAAGGTTGTTTTTAGTGTAAGTGAGTATTAGGACTATTTCAAGGATCTTGATACAATTAATGTTGGAGAGAGAAAGATGAGACGAGTGTTGACCTTGGATGTTCTTGGTTTGAAGTACAATTAGGGCTCCTGTCTTGAAAGCATGGATAAATGAAGGTTCATCCAGTGAAGGAAAACAGAGCAAGGATGGATGAGCAAGCGAAGGTCGAGAGTAATAAAACTGGATCTGGCAAGTTAAGCTTGGACTGATTAGTTTCTCTGTTCATCAAATATTAAGACCCTTCTGTATGCCAGGTACTATTCTGAGCAGTGAGGTTGCAGTCTGCAAAAAGCATCCCTGGTCCCATGGCTCTTGTAGTCTGGTGTGATCAAGTGACAGTAAATAGTGAAGCAGGCACATAAACAAAGCCAGGATTTTAAAGAATAACATAATGCATAAAATGTAAGACACGATGACAAAGAAGATTAAGTGGGACAGGTGCCATTTTTGAAAGACTGGTCAGAAAATAACCATCCTAAGAGCTGATATTTGACCCTGTAAAGTGGAATGTAAACGTCCCTAAGAGGCCTAGGGGAGAGAATGCTTCAGATTGTGGAAATTCTGTTACTAAGAAAGGAAACAAACTTGGCATCTTTGAAGTCCAGAATGTTTGCAAAGGTACCATGGCGTATGCGTTGAGAGGAGTGGGCAGTTTTCTGTAGGATTTATAGGTGATCAGATTCCGTAACCCTCAGGCTAGAAGACTTTGGTCCTCAGAATACAAGACTGTGACTATACAAAATTATCAACACTATCTACCTTCAGGTGACAGTTCTAACTATGGGAGAGAGTAAGAATGTACTGACAAAGGCAAACAAGCCCCATGAATAAAACCAACAACTAACAGAGGAAGAAGAAAAACTATCAGCGTCATAACATAAAATAGTATATTAGGATGAAATGGACATGGCAAATGTTTGAGACTGAAAGTCCTGCCCTCATTAACTTTGTCAACTTGACAAAGCCTGGAGTCATCTAGGAGGAACATCCAGCTTGAGGAATTGTCTAGATCACCTTGTCCTTGAGCATGGCTATGGGGGATTATTTTGATTGTTAATTGACAAAAGAAGGTCCAGCGTACCGTGAATGGCACCATTTCCCTGTGAAGGTGATCCTGAGCTATAGAAGGAAGCCAGCTAAACACAGACATGGGCGAGAGCCATCAAACAGCATTACTGCATGGTTTCTGCTTCAAAATATAGATTGCATTCCTGCTTTGACTTCTTTCAGTGACTGACTACCCCTAACAAGTTGAAATAAATCCATCCCTTCCCTGAGTGTCTTTGGGCCATGGTGTCTTTAATGCGTCAGAAAGTTAGGACAAGCCACATACAGTTTCAAGAACAGTGTGCAACAGAATCAAGTGAAGTGAATAACAGGACAAAGATGTTTCCAATGCAAATGGAGATGAAGGTCTTTGGTAAATTTTTCTGATATAGTTATTTCAAGTGGCAGAAGGCAAACTGAATACAGTAGGGTACATATCATAAATTTAAATGCAATAAAGAAGTAATTCAAAGTGAACAGTAGATGGACCCAAATATGGCTGCTCTTTCAAGGTATTTGCATTGTTGCAGCAAAAAAAGTGAACTAAAAGCATTTTAATGATAAAATTTGAATTTATTATATCAACATTCAGAATAGAAAATAAATAAGAGTCGATCCAAAGCATTGATAAAACCAGCAAAATCACAAGCCACATTGCACCAAACAAGGTTGGTTCCTCTTTGAGTTTGTAGCCATTGGTAATTGTCCAGTGTTCCAATGGATGGGACCTAACCCAAGTACATACGGGCAAGAATAATTGGATATAGTGGGTTATCAAATTAAAAGAAGGAAGGAAGGAAGAAAGGAAGAAAAGAAAGAAGAAACAAACAAAGAAACAAAAGAAAATGACAAAGTTAAGATGGTAATACATTAGAGCATATAGGAAGTTAGGGAGGGCCATAGTCCTATTGGGGAATGTGATAATATTCCATTATAATTACATATGAAATTCTCAAAGAATGAAATATAATGGAGTTTTTAAAAGGGATGCTTCAAAAACAGGAAAACCTAAAATTGAGACATTATCATCGTTCCAATCACTTATATAATTCTCAATTTAACATTTCAGCACCTATTTATTCATCATCAAAAAGGGCAAATTGTAGCCTATAATATCTTATTTATGAATCTAAAGAGTTTAAAACTAAAAAGTGACATTCCATTTCTGCCTATTTTAGTGATATATTATTATTTTCACTTTTTAAAATGTATAGATACTACACAATTCTTAAATAATAGAAAACAAATCATTTAAAATTCTGCATGTATTTGATGAAATGACCTTTACATCTAATTTGAGTATTCTACTGAGAGAGAAGAGAGAAGAGAGGAGAGAGGAGAGAGGAGAGAGGAGAGAGGAGAGAGAGAGAGAGAGAGAGAGAGAGAGAGAGAGAGAGAGAG